CGGCGCGGGGGAGGGGGCGGAGCGGGGGGGGGGGGTGCGGTGCCGAAATAAAGCGGTCGGGGCGGAGGGGGCACTGGGCGGGCGCTGGAGCCGCGGGGCGGCGCTGAGACGGCGCTGGGGAGGGGGCGGAGCGGGGAGGGAGGGTGCGGTGCCGAAATAAAGTGGTTCGGGGCGGAGGGGGCACTGGGGGGCGCTGGAGCCCGCGCAGGGGCGCTGAGACGGCGCGAGGGGCTGGGGCGGGCGGGGGGGGGGGGTGCCGGCTCCTCCTTTCGTGCCGAGATAAAGTGGTCGGGGCGGAGGGGGCACTGGGCGGGCGCTGGAGCCGCGCGGGGGCGCTGAGACTGCGCGGGGGAGGGGGCGGAGCGGGGAGGGGGGGTGCGGTGCCGAAATAAAGTGGTCGTGGCGGGGGGGGCACTGGGCGGGCGCTGGAGCCGCGGGGGGGCGCTGAGACGGCGCGGGGGAGGGGGCGGAGCGGGGAGGGGGGATGCGGTGCCGAAATAAAGTGGTCGGGGCGGAGGAGGCACTGGGCGGGCGCTGGAGCCGCGGGGGGGCGCTGAGACGGCGCGGGGGAGGGGGCGGAGCGGGGGGGGGTGCGGTGCCGAAGTGAAGTAGTCGAGGCGGAGGGGGCACTGGGCGGGCGCTGGAGCCGCGGGGGGGCGCTGAGACGGCGCGGGGGAGGGGGCGGGGCGGGGGGGGGGTGCGGTGCCGAAATAAAGTGGTCGAGGCGGAGGTGGCACTGGGCGGGCGCTGGAGCCGCGGGGGGGCGCTGAGACGGCGCGGGGGAGGTGGCGGAGGGGGGGGGGTGCGGTGCCGAAATAAAGTGGTCGGGGCGGAGGGGGCACTGGGCGGGCGCTGGAGCCGCGGGAGGGCGCTGAGACGGAGGGGGCGCATGATGATGATGATGATGATGATGATGATGATGATGATGATGATGATGATGATGATGATGATGGATGATGATGATGATGATGATGGTGATGGTGATGATGGTGATGATGGATGATGATGATGATGATGATGATGCTGATGATGATGATGATGATGATGATGATGATGATGATGATGATGATGATGATGATGATGATGATGATGATGATGATGATGATGATGATGATGATGATGATGATGATGATGATGATGAGGGGGGGGGGGCGGTGCGAAATAAAGTGGTCGGAGCTCTAGACACCCTGTGCAAGATAATAAAAATGTATGTACGTACGTATGTACGTAAGTACGCATGTTTGTATGTATGTTTATATGGATGTATGCATGCATGGATGCCTGTATGCATGCATCTGCAGATGATTGTATGCATGCATGCATACATTTATCTAGTTATGTATGTATGCATGCATGCGTGCATGCATTTATACATGCAGACATGTATGCATGCATGCATGTATGTATGTATGCATGCATGCATGCCTCCATGCATGCATGCATGCATGTACGCACGTATGCATGCATGCATGCATGCATGCATGCATGCATGTGTGTACACATGCACATGTATGCATGTCTGCATTTCTATATGCATGCATGCATGTGTGTATGCAGGTATGTAGGTATGTAGGTATGTGTGTAGGTATGCAGGTAGGCGGGTAGGTAGGCAGGCAGATAGGTAGGTAGGTCAGCACGTGCACACGTACGTATGTATATGTATATGTATGCATGCATGTAGGTATGTATGCATACATGCATGCATGCATGTATTTAGGAGTACATATGTATGTATGTATGCATGTATGTATGTATGTATGTATGTATGTATGCATGTATGTATGTATGCATATGTATGTATGTATGTATGTAGGTAGGTAGGTAGGTAGGTAGGTAGGTAGGTATGTATCTATGTATGTATGTGTATATATATGTACATATCGACATGTATGTGTGCATACATGAATGCATATTTGTATGTATGCATGTATATATGTATGTATGTATGTATGTATGTATGTATGTATGTATGCATGCATGCATGCATGCATGCATGCATGCATGTATGTATGTATGTATGTATGCATGCATGCATGCATGCATGCATGCATGTATAGTTATATATACGTATGTATGCTTATCATTGTGTTTGTCATGCGATATATCTACCTTGACGCGTCCCTTGGAACGTCTCTCCCGAAGCCGCCTCCCCCGCAACCGCTTTGGTCAGAGGGGTTTCAGAGGGTTTTACCCGTGACATTCCCCCCCCCGGGGCCGCGGTCCAGGTCGCCCGTCCGTGGCGCGGGATGGGCGTCTGCTGACCTGCGCCCTGGGCTCGCGGGGCCCCCGCAGCGGCGCCGCCTGCCGCCTCACCAGGCTGCTGGCGGCATGTTCGGCGGCGGGGCGGCCCCTGGCGTGGGCGGCGCTGGCGGTGGCGGCGCGCTGGTGGGGCCTGCAGGCGGCCTCCTCGGCGTCGGAGGTGGCAGCGCCGCGGGCGGGTTCGCGGCCCCGCCTCCACGCGTGGGCGCGGTGCTGCCGCCGCCCCCGCCACGTCGTGGCAAGGCCGCAGGCTTCTGCAGCTGGCGGAGGCGCTGCAGGCGGACGCGTGCCAAAGGGGGCTAAGCCCGCCATGGGCGGCATGGGCAAGCCGCCGCCCGCGCGTCGCGGCGGGATGGCGGCTGCAGCAGGCGCCGCTGCCGGCGGAGGACGCGCCCGCCGCGGTGGCGCCGCCTCGGCTGCTGCAGCCGCTGCCGCCGCAGCTGCAAGAGGAGGCGCGCCTGGAGCGGGCGGCGCTGGTGGCGTGGCGCCTGGGCTCCCTGGCGTTGGCCTGCTCGGAGGGCCGCCACCTGCTGCTGGAGGCGGAGCGGGCCTAGCGGTTGCCGCGCTCCCGCCTGCCCTTTATCGCGGGCGGCCCGCGTGGGGGCTGGGGCGGCTTGGTCCCGTGGGCCGCAGGAGGCGCTGGGCTGGCGGGCTTGGCTGGAAGCTGCCCATGCGGTGCGCCCGCTGGAGGAGGCCCTGCGGGGCCTGCAGGTCTGCCCGAGTACGGCGGAACTTTCGGCATGCTAGTGTATGCCGTTCTTGGAAGCTGCGGAGGAGGGCCTGGCCCCTTGATCTACCTTCCCCTCGCGCCGTACGTGCTGCAGCAACTCCAGCTGATGCCAGGCTCGCGGCTGGAGATCGTGATGTACGACGCCTGGGGCCAGCCGACCGGGACGGCCGAGTTCCGCGTGACAGGCGCTCGGCCCGCGGACGCCTCAGGACAGTTCGTGGAGGCCTCGGTAGAGGGCTGCAGCCAACCGCACTTCCTGCTCGTCCTGCAGGGGCTGTTCGCCATGGGCGGCTCGGTTTTGCATCTGTGCGCGCAGGCCGTGGGCACCTGCCACCTCGCGACGAAGTGGCCCAACAGGAACGTGCTGCACTCGGACAAGGTGCGCGTGAAGGCTGCGGTTGGCGCGGCTGACGGAGCTCCTGCAGTGGCCGCCCTGGCCGGCGGCGCGGCCGTAGGAGGAGGCGCCGACGGGGCTCCCGCTGCCGGTGGTGGCGACGCTGGTGGCGTTGGTGCAGCTGGGGGCGGTGCAGGGGCCGCAGCTGGCTCGGGCGGAGCCGACGGGTCCGAGGGGGCTCCGAGGACCGAGCAGCTCAAGAAGGTGATTCACGATTTGCGAGAGCGGCTGAAGCGGAGGCGCTCGTTGGCGGAGTCGCTCGCCGAGAGGGCCGACGCCGCGCTGGAGGGCCGTGGCAGGCGCCGCAGGGATAACAATAACCGCGATCGCGATGCTTCAGAGGAGTCGGGTTTTGACGAGGCCCCGCCGGCTGGTTCCAGCCGCCGAGTACAGCGCCTCGCGCGTTCCGATCCAGGAGCGCTGATGGCCGCAGGTCTAAGACAGGTCCGCGAGTAATTACTTGGCCGACGACGCCGAGGAGCTGGGCAGTTTTAGCGCGATTGTGGCGCACTGCGTCGCGAGCGTGTGGCACGGAGCGCATCCTCAGAGCGAGATGGGGCTCCGCAGCGTGCGCGAGATGAGGATGGTCGGGGAGTGCCTCGACGCGCTCACTCGCGGCGAGCTGCCGCGCTTGGGCGAAGTGCTCATGCGGCGCTTGAAGAACGCCGAGCAGGCGACGAAGGGCGGCCACTGGCAGGTGGCGCAGCACTTGGAGCTGATGGACTTCACGGACGTGGGGCTGGCCTCTCAGGCGGAGCGTCGGCGGTGGCGACCTGCTCGGACAGCGCCAAGCTGAGGGAGTGCCTGGGCAAGGTGAGCGGCAAGGTGAAGCACCCCCAGGGATTCGGCGAGGGGGAGTGGGCGCGCTGGGGCGCCCTTCCCCGCGACGCCACCCCTTCAGAAGAAGCCTGGAGCTCAGGAGGCCGAGGAGGCGTCGCGGCCTGCGACTCCGCGTCGGATGGCTCGCCGGCGGCAGGATCGCCCTCGCGCGGGCAGGGGTCGAGGCCGCGGCGCTGGGGGGCGAGGAGCTGGGGCGCGGCCCGCCGCGGCCGCGGCGACGGCGGAGGCGCGCTCGCCGAGCTCCGCCGGGGCGCCCCCCTCGCCTCGGCGCTCGTGGGCGCCATTGCGAATCCCCTTGGCGACAGCCGCGGCGAGCGGGTCGAGCCCTGGGCCGCGGCGCAGGCCTGGCCGGCGCCCTGGGCCGCGAGTGCAGAGCCCGCGGCGGTGTGTGATGTTCGCCGAGCCCGCGGAGGAGCGCCTCCCGGTTAGGCGAGGCCCCGCGGGCGAGGCGGCCAGGACAGATCAGTGCCCTTGGGCCCGCGGCCAGTCGAGGGGCCCGCGGCGCAGCGAGTGCAGGGGGCGCGGCGAGAACCCTGGCAGGGGAGGGGGGCGCCCCGCCTCATGGAGGCCAGTGGCGAGTTGACGGGGTGCCGCGCGTGCCGCTTGATCTGCCACTGCGGGGCGGGCCAGCGGTTCCATGGCGATGTGCTGGTGCAACCCTGGAAGGGGCAGGCATTCTGACCTGCCCAACCTCGTGGCGTTCTACCTTCCCGAGCGACGGGGGCCGAGGCGCGCGTAGGAGGCCCGCCAGTCGCGCCGTCGTGGGTGGTCTGGCAGGTCTTCGTCGATAATCTCGACCTCCTGGAGATCGCCGACGAGGTCGCGATGGCAGCACTGCAGTGCGCTGGACCTCCTGGGGCCGTTGACCTTGCCAGGGCTAGATATGGCGCTCAGGGTATCCCGCGCAGCGAGGACAAGTCCGTGAGCCGCGCGCTGAAGAGCCAGGTCTCAGGGGTGTACGTGGACGGGAAGCTGGGCATGATCAGTCCCCCGAAAGACTCAATTTATAATCTTGTAAGCCTCACTTTGTTCGCGCTGGGCCGCGAGCGGGTGGGGCAGAGGTGGCTGCTGGTGCTGGCGGGCCGCTGGGTGCGTGCGATGATGTTCCGCAGGGAGGTCGCGTCGGCTTTCGACCACTTGTGGCGAGCCGTGGTGAGCTGGGGGTGAGCGTCGCTTGCCGAGCCTCGCCTTGGGGCTGCTGCCGCCCATGAGGTGCGACCTGCGGGCCCCCTTCAGCGGCGTGGCGACGGCGTCGGGCGCCGGCGAGCAGGAGGGGGCAGTGTGCCGGGCAGTGCGGCTCCTACCCCGCGGCATTGAAGCCGCGCGTGCAGCGCGGGCGCGACGCGGCGGCCGGCTGCAGGGCGAGGGCGTGCTGATCTCGTTCATCGACGGTTTCGGCGGCATCCAAAGTCTTCGACATGTTGGAATTGAGCGTGGCCGTTTTCGCTTCGTGCGCAGATGCGTCGGCTTGCAGAGTGGCGCGACGCGCTTGGCCCGACGTGCTGGGGCCCGGGGGCGTGCGGCTGCCGACCAAGAAGCGCCTCGGGCAGGTTCGAGATCGCGCTCCACATGCTCGATGGGCCATCCTGGGCGCGGGCGCGCCCTGCGTGGACTTGGCGCGCCTCTGCGTGGACAGGCGCGGGCTGCGAGGGGCGCGGTCTGGCCTCTTCTTCGAGACGTGGAGAATTCAGTCTTTGATCCTCCAGGTGTTTCCAGAGGAGGTGCAGCTGTTCAACTTAGTCGAGAATGTGTCATCCATGGGGGCGAAGGACAGGGGTGCCATGTCGCAGGCGCTGGGCTTGGAGCCAGCGGTCATCGAGGGCGCCGACATCTCGCGCGCTCGCCTGGAGAGGCTTCGCCGGTGCGACGTGGACTTGATGGCGCAGTGGCAGTGCGCCGTGGACAAGCAGCAGGGGATTGAGAAGGTCGCGCTTCCAGGGCCCCGGGGACTTCGGGCGGTGGCTTCGTGGGGGTCGCGAGTGGCGTGGTGCAGGCTGCGAGGGGCAGAGTCTGCCGACCTTCGTCCGCTGCGTCCCTGGGGCGCGCGCTGGCCCCGAGCCCGAGGGAGTGGGCCAGTGCTCGCCCGAAGAGGTGGCGCGCTGGCGCGCCCGCGAGTATTGCTGCGCCCCCTACCAGTTCAGGAACGTTCACTGCTTACGCCGGCACGGCGGCGAGCTGGAGCCCGCGGACTCCTTCGAGCGGGGAGTGTTGATGGACTTCCCCCCTGCACGCGCGGCGACTGCCGTGGCGACCCGTTTCCGCGAGCCCCGCGAGGTGGAGGTCGTGCGCTGCGCGTTGCTGGGCAACTCGTTCCAGTGCGCCGTGCTGGCTTGGATCTTGGGCCACTGAGCTCGCCGCCAGCAGTGCGTCGACGCCGTCCCGTGCGCGATGCAGCTGCGGGAGCTTGGTGGCGGCTTCGATGCGGCGGAAGGGGTTGGTGCATATGGCGTCAGACAACGACGAGGGCGTGCTGGTCCGCCACGTGAACCTGAGCAGCCCAGAGGCCCAACGCGACATGGGCTTGCAGATGGTCGAGGAGACGGCGAGGCGAGCTGCAGTCCGAGGTTCTGATGTGCGTCTGGACTCGCTGGAGGTCATGCGCCCCGACTTGTGGCCCCGCAGGCCCATCAGCGTGGCGCGCTGGTTGTGGAGGGCGGTCTTGGTCTGGCGTTGGCGGTGGGGGAGCCGCATCGCTGCGCTGGAAATTCTCAGTGCGCTGGCTGCTCTGCGTTGGAGATTCCGTGTTTGTCACCATCTGTACACGGGGTTTGCCCATTTTTTGGATTCCAAGTGTGTATTGGTGTGATGTCTAGAGGGCGCTCTTCTTCCCATGTGCTCAAGGCGGCTGTCGAGAGGATATCTGCTCAGGTCCTGGCAGCTTCCGCGCGGCCAATCTACGGGCGCACCGAGACGGACAATAACCCCGCCGAGGACCCGTCCAGGGGCGGCGGCGGCGGCGCCCCCGTAGCCGATCATGCCGCGACGAAGGCGCCTTGAGTATGGGCAGGAGTTGGTGGCCCGAGTTCGGGCGCGCAGGGCCATTGGGAAGTTATCGCGCATCTTGGTGCACCCTCGCGCTCCAGGCCGTGATTATCATATGGTATTGGCTTTCCCCACTCGGATGCAATCTCATGGTGTGCCAGTGGAGTCAGAAATTGGGCAGCTTGACTTTCGACTTTGCGTATGTCTTGAGGCGCTGTGGGCCGCTGGTAGGCCAGCTGGCGATGCAGGCTCTACCATCTCTGGCGTCCAGTTCTTCTTGCGACGGAAATGAATACCACGCAGTTCTGGGAATATTCTTGAGGCTTGGCAGCGGACGGAAGCCCCATCGGCGAGCCGCGCCCATGCGGGAGTATGTGTTGATGGCCGCGGCGAGCGTGGCGTGCTCGTGGTCACGAAATAATGCGGCGGTGCCCCTGGTCTTGGGGTGTGCGGCGTTCCTTCGCGCCATGGAGTTGCCTGGTTTGCGTCGCTGTCGGCTCCGGTTTATGGTGATAGCGCTGCCAGTGACCAAATCAGATGTTCGACAGCACTGTGAAGAGTCGTTGGCGCTTCGCGACCCGCGCCTGGTGAGAATCGTGCACATCTTGATTCACCGAGTTCCGCCAGATGAGCTCATTCTGCGGTCATTCGTCGAGGACTTTCGGAGGGTCTTGAACCTGCAGCGACATCGCTGCGTGCCGTACTCCATGCGGTGAGGCGGCGCCACCATGCATAGCCCCAGCTGCAACAACATGGGCCGCACTTTGATGATGGGCCGGTGGCAGGACGCAGCGGTGACGAGGCTCGGAATGTCGGACGGGGCGCAGACAGTGCTGCAGAATTCGTTCAGGCCTGTGGAGCTTGACAGATTCCGCCGCCTGGCGGCGGCCGTTAATCACAGTGTGCGTTGAGCATCGGGTGAGAGGGGTCCGGTGACCGCCCAGTCACGCCCCTTGGCGGCCTTTCGAGGCGATCGGTCTCTGCCTCGGGCCCTCCTTGAGGGCTGGGTAGCTCGAGGGTTTAGGCTGGGCGGCGGCCCGACCCAGTGAATGAGCAAAAAAGATCGGAAGGGGGCCCGACTTTCCCTTCGGTTTAGCACTGGGGGCGAGACTCGGACTCTGCCCGTGGCCCTCCTGTGCCTTGCTGGGGAAGGGTGGCTGGGTGGGGCGAGGGGAAGGTCGGACCTCCACTCCGATCACCTGTGTATATGCAGTCAGCTTCGCTGTCAGCATTTTCCCGGCCCCCACCGCCCTAGGTAAAACAGAGTGGGGTGCGTGGAAGGGGGGGGCTCCTCTGGGGGGGACTCGGTCTCGCGTTCGCGATGCCGCCCCCATAGGAAGGGTGCGGTCTCGCGTTCGCGCTGCCGCCCTCCCATCAGGGGTTCGGACTCGCGTTCGCGCTGCCGTTCCGGGGGCTTGCACCAGGGGTTCGGACTCGCGTTCGCGCTGCCGCCCCTCTAAGGCGCGGGGCCCCCTCAGGGTTGCGGGGTCTTGCGTTGGCAGCCCCCGTTGCACGCAGGACTGTGGTAAGGGATGAGATGTTAAGAAATGAGGGCGGGGAGGAGGAGATTAACATTGAGTTTCTCATGCAATTTATCTCCCCTGGCGCGCCCCTTGGAACGTCTCTCTCGAAACCGCCCCCCCCCGCAGCCGCTCCGGTTCCTCCCGTGCCTTCCCTACCAAAGCTGGGAAAAAGGGGGGGGGGCCTCTTCTTGGGGGGGTTTGGTCTCGCGTTCGCGCTGCCCTCCCCATTCGGGCCGGGCGAAAGGGGGGGATTGGGAAAGGGGGGGTTACGAAATTTGCTGCATGCAGCTGGTTTCGGCCTCACCGAGGGGCACGTTCCTCGATACATGGGCGCCTCCCGGCGCTGGGAGGCGCCGGGAAAATCAGCTACGTGAGCTGATTCTCACCCCCCCCTTTTGCTATCCCCCCCTTTTGCCCGACCCGACCCATGGAGGGATTCGGACTCGCGTTCGCGCTGCCGCCCTCGCCCCAGGGGTTCGGACTCGCGTTCGCGCCGCCGCTCCGGGGGCCTGCTCCAGGGGTTCGGGCTCGCGCTCGCGCCGCCGCCCCGGAGGCCCAGGGCCCCTCAGGGTTTTCGGGGTCTTGCGCTGGCAGCCCCCCTTTGCACGCGGGACTCTGGCAGGTGATGATATGTTTGGGGGCGGGGAGGCAGACATGACATACGCGAATGTATTCGTGTATGCATGCATGCATACATGCATGTACGCATGTTTGTATGTATGTATGCATGTATGTATGCACGTATGTATGTATGTATGTATGCATGCATGCATGCATGCATGCATGTATGTATGTGTGCCTGTATACATGTATGTACCAGTGTACCTATGTATGCATACATGTATGTATGTGCGCATGCACATATGTATGCCTGCGTGCACGTACGTATGTATACATATATGAATGTATGTATGTACGTATGCATGTATGTATGTGTGCATGTATGGCTGTATATGTTTTTCCCTGCATCCAAAGTTGGTCTTTTGTTGTCTCTGGACACCCCGAGCAGGAACACCCATCTCAGCCCGCGCAGGACGCGCGTATGAACACACACACACACTCACTCACTCGCTCACTCACTCATCATCAGCAGCATCGTCATCGTCAACACCGCGTCACCAGCACTCGTCATCATCAGCACTCATCATCATCATCACCACTCATCACCATCATCAGCTTCATCATCACCAACATCATCATCCATCGAGAACTCACCATCGTCATCAGGCCTGAATGTTGAGGAACTATCACGCGAGAGCATCGTCTGTGAGTGAATTGCGAGGAAGTCTCAGGCGGGGGCCCCCTCCCCAATGGGCCCGCAGCTCATGTTACTAATCCGAGGCGGGTCATCGCACTCTTGAAATTGTCGTCACTTTGGGGCTCCTCAGGCTCGAATATGGAGGAAATATCAGGCGGGGGCCTCGTCTGTGAGTGAATTGTGAAGACGTTTCAGGCGGGGGCGCTCTCCCTAAGGGGCCAGCAGATCATGTTATTAATCCGAGGCGGTCATCGCAATCCTGTAACCGTCGTCACTTTTGGGCTCCTCAAACCTGAGCATGGAGGAAGTATCAGGCGGGAACTTCGTCCGTGAGTGAATTGCGAGGAAGTGTCAGGCGGGGGCTCCTCCTTAAGGGACCCGCAGATCATGTTATTAATCCGAGGCGGGTCATCGCAATCCTGAAAGTGTCGTCATTTTTGGGCTTCTCAGGCTTGACTATGGAGGAAGAATCAGGCGGGAGCCTCGTCTGTGAGGGAATTGTGAGGAAGTCTCGGGCGGGGGCCCCCTCCCTAAGGGGCCCGCAGATCATGTTACGAATCTGAGGCGGGTCATCGCAATCCTGAAATTGTCGTCACTTTGCGGCTCTTCAGGCATGAATATGGAGGAAGTATCGGGCGGGAGCCTCGTCTGTGAGTGAATTGCGAGGAAATCTCAGGCGGGGGCCCCCTCCCCATGGGCCCGCAGATCATGTTACTAATCCGAGGCGGGTCATCGCATTCCTGAAATTGTCGTCACTTTTGGGCTCCTCAAGCTTGAATATGGAGGATCTATCAGGGGGGAGCTTCGTCTGTGAGTGAGTTGTGTGGACATCTCACGCGGGAGATCCTTCCCTAAGGGGCCGGGACTTCATGTTCGAATCCGAGGCGGGTCATCAGATTCCTGTAACACCTTCGGGCTCACTTCCCCAGGATGAACATGCCGCAGTAGCATCAGTGAGGGATAGCAGTAGCATCAGCGAGCGAACCGAATTTTGTCTCATTCGTTTTCAATCCGTTCCGAATTAACCTGCTCAGCACGCGTAGTTTTACTCATATGTGTTGTGTCCCTGTCATACCGTTGGATTTACTAGAACTTAGGCTGGCCGAGGAGCTCCTTGCGCTCCCGTGCGTGTCCGGGGCGGTCCGCGCGGACGTGGGCGCGC